AGTAACCTCTTTGACATCGGCCACAGCAACTTCTTTCAAGATACATCTCCAAAGGCTAGTGAAACTAAAGCAAAAATGAACTTTTGGGACTTCATCAAGATAAAAAGCTTTGGCACAGCAAAAGAAACAGTCAAGAAAATGAAAAATTGATTTTAAACCAAAGACTGTAATAAGAGTTGAAGAAGAACACTGTATCATAATCAGAGGGTCTATCCAACAAGAAGATGTAATAATTTTAAATATTTATGCCCCTAACTTGGGAGTAGCCAATTTTATAAACTAATAAATAACAAAATTATACAAATACATTGATAATAATACAAGAATAGTGGGGGACTTTAACAACTCACTCACAGCAATGGACAGATTATCTAAGCAGAAGATCAACAAGAAAACAAGAGCTTTGAATGACACACTGGACCAGATGGACTTCACAGATATATACAGAGAATTCCATCCTAAATCAACAGAATTCTCATTCTTCTCGGGTGCACATGGAACATTCTCCAGAATAGATCACATAGTGAGTCACAAATCAGGTCCAACCAGTACCAAAATATTGGGATTATTCCCTGCCAATTTTCAGACCATAATGCTTTAAAACTTAATTCATTCACAAAAGGAAATTTGGAAGGAACACAAATACATGGAATTTAAAGAGCATCCTACTAAAAAATGAATCAGTCAAGTAGGAAATTAAAGAAAAATGTTTAAAATATATGAAAGCAAATGAATATGAAAACACAACTCTTCAAAACCTTTGGGATGCTGCAAAGGTGGTCCTAAGAGGGAAGTACATAACACTACAAGACTTCCTCAAAAAACAAGAAAAATCTCAAACACACAACCTAACATTATACCTGGAAGAGCTGAAGAAAAAAAAACATCAAATAAAGCCTAAACCTACCAGGAGAAAAGAATTAATAAAGATTAGAGCAGAAATGAATGAAATAGAAACCAAAAGAACAGTAGAACAGATCAACGAAACTAGGAGCTGGTTCTTTGAAAGAATTAATAAGATTGATAAACTTGAATAGCCAGACTGTTGGAAAAGAAAGGAGAAATGACACAAATTAATAAAATCATGACTGAAAGAGGAGAGATCTAACCAACACCAAAGAAATACAATTATAAGAACATATTATCAGCAACTATATGCCAACAAATTAGGCAAACTGGAAGAAATGGATGCATTCCTAGAGATGTATAAACTACCAAAACTGAAAAAGGAAGAAATAGAAGACCTGAACAGACCCATAACCAGGAAGGAAATTGAAGCAGTAATCAAAAATGTCCCAACAAACAACACTCCAGGGCTGGTGGCTTCCCAGGGGAATTCTACCAAAGATTTAAAGAAGAACTAATACCTATTCTTCTAAAGCTGTTTCAAAAATGTGAAATGGAAGGAAAACTTCCAAACTCTTTTAATGAGGCCAGCATTACCTTGATCCCAAAACCAAAGACGCCACCAAAAAATGGAAAATTACAGACCAATATCCCTAATAAACATGGATACTAAATTCTCCCCAAGCTACTAACCAATGTACCAACAGTACATTAAAAGGATTATTCACCACCACCAATGGGATTTATTCCTGGACTGAACTGTGGTTCAATATGCATAAATCAGTCAATGTGATACACTACATTAATAAAAGAAAGGAAAAGAACCATATGCTCCTCTCAGTGGTTGCAGAAAAAGCATTTGACAAAGTACAGAATACTTTCTTGATTAAAACTCTCCATGGTGTAGGGATAGAGGGAACATACCTCAATATCATAAAAGACATATATGAAAAGCTCACAGAAAATATCATTTGCAACAGGGGAAACCTGAGAGCTTTTCCCCTAAGGTCAGGAAAACGACAGGGATGTCCACTCTCACCACTCTTGTTCAACAGAGTACTAGAAGTCCTAGCATCAGAAATCAGATAATAAAAATAAATAAAACACATCCAGATCAGAAAATAAGAAATCAAACTCTCACTCTTCGCAGATGACAAGATACTCTGTGGAAAACCCAAGACTCCACCCCAAAATTGCTAGAACTCACACAGGAATTCAGCAAAGTGGCAGGATATAAAATCAATGCACAGAAATCAGTTGCAATTCTATACACTAACAATGAGACCAAAGAAAGAGAAATTAAGGAATGATCCCATTTACAATTGTACCAAAAGCCATAAAATATCTAGGAATAAACCTAACCAAAGAGGCAAAGGATCTGTACTCTGAAAACTATAGAACACTTATGAAAGAAATTGAGAAAGACACAAAGAAATGGAAAAACATTCCATGGTCATGGATTGGAAGAACAAATATTGTTAAAATATCTATGCTACCTATAGCAAACTACACATTCAATACAATCCCTATCAAAATACTATCAACGTTTTTCACAGAGCTGGAACAAACAATCCTAAAATTTGTATGGAACCAGAAAAGACCCCGAATAGCCAAAGGAATATTGAAAAAGGAACCAAAGCTGGAGACATCACATTTCAGACTTCAAGCTATATTACAAAGCTGTGACCATCAATACAGTATGGTACTGGCACAAAAACAGACACATAGATCAATGGAACAGAATAGAGAGCCCAGAAATGGACCCTCAACTCGGTAGTCAACTAATCTTTGACAAAGCAGGAAAGAATATTCAATGGAAAAAAGACAGTCCCTTCAACAAAAGGTGTTGGGAAAATTGAACAGCCACATGCAGAAGAATGAAACTGGACCACTTTCTTACACCATACCCAAAAATAAACTCAAAATGGATAAAAGATGTAATGTGAGACAGGAACCCATCAAAATCCTAGAGGAGAACAAAGGCAGCAACCTTTTGACATCTGCCACAACTTCTTGCTAGACTTGTCACCAAAGGCAAGGGAAACAAAAGCAAAAATGAACTATTGGGACTTCAAGATAAAAAACTTTTGCAGAGCAAAGTAAACAGTCGACAAAACCAAAAGACAATCTACAGAATGGGAGAAGATATTTGCAAATGCCTTATCAGATAAAAGGCTACTACCCAAAATCTATGAAGAACTTATCAAACTCAACACCCAAAGAACAAATAATCCAGTCAGACATACAAATGGTCAACAGACATATAAAAAAAAATGCTCAACATGACTCAGCATCAGGGAAATACAAATCAAAACCACAATGAGAAACCACTTCACACCAGTCAAAATGACTAAAATTAACAAGTCAGGAAATGACAAATTGGCAAGGATTTGGAGAAAGGGGAACCCTCTTACACTGCTGGTGGGAATGCAATCTGGTGCAGTCACTCTGGAAAACAGTATGGTAGCTCTCAAAAAGTTGAAAATAGAGCTACCCTACAACCCAGCAATTGCACTACTAGGTATCTGCCCCAAAGATACAAATGTAGTGATCTGAACAGGCACCTGCACCCCAATGTTTATAGCAGCAATGTCCACAATAGCCAAGATAAGGAAAGAACCAGATGTCCATCGACTGATGAATGGATA